ATACCTGATAAAACACGATCTCGAGTGTTTTAAACGGCTTAAAAAACTCCAACACTAATTTGAAACTCAAATACGTTAAAATTCTTGGAGAAATTGCCGTAAAAATATGTTCAGAAATAAATGGGGCAAAGTGATCATGCGCGAATCACTTTACAAAGCACTCTTGTCATCCCACATTGAATACGCATAAAGTAAAATAGAACCGCTCTTGGCTCTTTACTCAAATCGGTTGACATCCTGCATTGGTCAATGATCAGGTTTCAAACCTGAGACCTTTGCTAGGGTCATGGACCTTTATATCTGATAAAGGTCACCCTTATTAGTATTCTTAATATAAAGAATACTAATAAGGAGTGTTTTATCAGATATAAAGGTCCATGCATGTGACCAAATAGGCTCATTCTATTGGCCTAGTAGCTCATTAATTATGTATGAGTTTTTTAAGTCTAATTCAAAGCCTTTCGATTTCAAAGCATATGTTATATAAGTAACCTCTTATTATATTTATATTGAAACTATAGTTTATTAAGAATGTTTGTTTCTTGATTTATTCAAATATGGATACAGACAGCTTGATTGTAACATTAATAAGTATTGCTATTGTTATTTTATGAACAGACCCTTCGCGAGTTGCGTCAATTCAATCAAGGATGAAAGGGAAGCATTAGCCTTACATTTCACTATCAAAAAACAAATAAGCCTGTATTTAAATACTAAGATCTGATTTTTTTTCACTTGACATTTCAGTGATAAATCAACCAAGCGCATACTTGATTTCGAAAGGTATGATAACTTACTAATTTACGACCATTCACGGTTTACAAATCAATTGTTATTCATATACCTTGTTGGATCCATATAATGATCTACCATGTTTGCCCTATTTATAGTACCAACAAACAACAAACAACAATTCAGATAAAGAGGAAAAAGCCTTACTTCGTGAAAATTGGTAAGAAAGTGTGAAATAAAGGAAAATAATCAACATGCATTTAATAAAATTCAGGAATAACGGAACCGGGCTTTTATGTTGACTAAGCAACTTCCGGAAAATATGCAGAAAATTAAACGGCGCAAAATCATTACAACTAAAACGATTGTATGTTTTGGTTAAATCCGAAGGGGAGGGAGTGGTAGAATGCTTTTTCCAAGCCGTCCAAAATTTTAAAGTAGAGTACAATAATCTCGCAATTTTGTTATTGTATGAAATGGCCAGTTTTAGACTATACTTTTTTTTATAATTCGCGTCATTGCCTTGGAAACAGGTGGCATAAGTTGCAAGAGGGTGGGTCACTTAGAAAAGTTGGCAGGACGGACCTTTTACGGTCGAAAATAGAACGTTAAAGGAGAACTCCGCTCTCGAACCATTGCTTATTCAATAAAAAGTTTATCATATACTTATCTTTTTTGTAAAGTCTCAAGTCCATAGCATCAAGTGCAACAGAGAAACAATTTACGGAAAACACGATAAATCCGACCTTGGCGATCGCCATTTTGAATTTCCCAGAAGTCAATTCAGAAGGGGTTATGACGTCACTGCGGGGTCTGCACGAATTCCAGTCAATTTAGTCACATGTTGAGTGTTGATCAAAGTTGACTTTCTCTTGTGTTTTTGCTTATTATTTGAGCCAAAATTTCTCAATATTGACTATGAGTAGTAGTTCAAGAAGCAACTCCAGTTCGGGAAGCGATTTTAGCGATTTTCTTGAGGAAATTCGACATGAGGGAGGTATTATTCAAGGCTACTTGTTCGAGCCGAGACGCATCGTGGACGATTCTTCTTCAGAGTCAGGTCTGTCATCAGATTCATCGAACTCTTCAGCTCACGACAATCGTTTACAAAATTCAGACTGGTAAGCATTTGAAGTATTTTTTTGTTTGAATTTCGGGTTAAAGTTTCGGGTTTTTTTAATTTTATTTTGTTTTTTTAATTCCTACCTATACTAATACAGGTGTGAATGCGAGCATTGCCAAGTGATGGATAGAGAGGTAGAGTGTCTTTGCTGCCACGAAATCCCACAGATCATGGAGAAAAATCGTCAAGTCGCTGAAGAGGAAAATCTCACTGAGCCACTAAAATGCATAACGGATAATCCAGGATTCAAAGCTGTGTGTCTCAACCGTTGGGTTTTGGAAACTGCTTGGTTTCAATATAGTCAACAATATGGTGCCGTTAACACCCCAGAGCACAAAAGAAAACGTCACATAGCTTATCGTCAATTAGTGAGATGGTGTTGGGGAGTTCTAGGAAAAGAAATAAGAGTGGTTTTACCTTCATGTGCTGTGATGTGTATTCGTGCCCACTTCCCTCCACCTGGTCTTGAAGATGACTTTGAATTCACTGGTTTCCAATATCCAGACGAGTAAAGTGCATGCAGGTAGGGTGCATGATATCAAAAACAAAAAACTAAAACAAACTAACAAAAGAAAAACAACTCTTTCAGTAGATGGCAATTTGCTGGTAGTGACTTCTGTTCTGTAATGACAAGATAAGATAAGTATATGTTATTCATGACTTTGAATGTCAGTGTATCAGATTCTTTGTACTTATACTCACTTA